CCTTCTGTGGCGGGGCCGGGGCGGCCGGCCCCCCGGCCGGCACCGTCTCTGCCCATGGGTTCGAGCTGCCTTTCTGTTCAGTTCATTCGTGGGCGTGAACACCCGCCAAGAGCGGGCACATGCTGGCCCCGGGGAGACCACAGGGGTCAAGGTCGGCGGAGCCTGCCGCTGGGCCCTTCTCCCTGGGCTGAGCAAGACTGATCGCTTGAGGATGTCTGGGCTGTCGGGTTCTGGGGAGGCGCAGACGCGAGGCTGTGGGCACCGGGCCCACCGTGGAGGCGCAGACGGGAGGCTGTGGGGAGCTGGCTCAGACCCCTGACCTGAGGTGACCCTTGGAGGACGCCGCCACCTGCACTTTTACCCGGAGAGTCGTGTCTTCGTCACAGGCCTTCAGGAGGGCTGCCAGATGAGGACCCGTGGGCTGCCCAGTGAGGGCCTCACTTTACCTTCCCCATGACGGTGTCTCCCCCGCGGGTGGTGACCGGGCTGTGGTAGCAGGCTCCAGGCAGAGCTCCCGTCCTTGGGGGCGGGGGAGCCCGGGTCAGCTGAGCAGTGGCCTGAGCAGAGGGCCCGGGCAAGAGGGCGTCCTCCATGGCGGCAGCGGCCATGAGGCTGACTGGACCCTGGTCTGCCTGTGGCGGTCAGTCCTAGGAGGACCTCAGCAGCACGGTGCCAGTGTGAGCGATGGCTCAGTGCTACGTGTGGCCAGCCGGGTCCCACGTGACCCCCCGCGGTCCAGGTCCCAACCCGGGCACTTGAGCACACCGAGGTGATCATGCGTGCCCAGGATCCTGAGGGGGCCAGGAGTGTGGGAGGGGTCACGTGACCACACCCTGTCCGCACTCCGTCACCTCTTCACGTGAGCACACATGTTTTCCATGCACAGACATGCAGCTCAGTGTCTGGGAAGCAGGCAGCCCGAAAACACTGGCTAATCCATCCTGCCCCCACCTCAGCTGCAGGGCGGGGACACGGAGAGGGAGGGGACAGTTTGAAGGGGTGGGAGGACCAGGTCCCAAGTCTCCCGGTCAGCTGGTGACCCCTAGTGACCAAAGGATGCATTGCATGTTGCAGCAGACCTGGAAATACAGGAACTTGGTGGGCATTTGCTGGGTTTCCTACAGCCCTGCCCACAGCCTGGAGCCCTGAAGTTCTGCAAACCTAGAAGGGTTGACTCTGAAACTTACCTGACCCGCTGCAAGGCCCTGAGGCCCTTTAGGCCTGAAAATGAGCCATAGCCTCCTTGCACCCCTGGCTCCACACGTGCATACACAGGTTGTCTCTAGATAGTTACAGCACCCAGTGGGACGCCTGCACCCGCGGGTCACCTAGGTCCCTAGGACGCCCGGTGGGACGCCTGCACACTCAGGTCATGTCTAGATCCTTGTGACTCCGGGCAGGATGCCTGCACACTCGGGTCAGGCCTAGACCCTACAACTTCTTGTACAGTGCACACCGGGACTGCTTTCTCATGGAATCCCCTTAAATCCTTGGCATGTGGAAAATTCAATTTATTTTTTTTGGGGGGGGGTTTGCTATAGGGCGCCTGCGTGTGCCAGAAAGACAGAGAGAGACATAGAGACAGAAAGCAAGAAATCGCCTCCCGGGGGGGATGGCCATGCCGTAATCCCTTCTCCTCTCAGGATGATGGCCATGCGGTAATCCCTTCTCCTCTCAGGATCTTGGGCACGCACGCACACATGCACATGTGTCCGGCGTGAGCTTAAGCCGCCGGGTCCGGGACTCGAACTGCTGTTGACTACATGGGAGTCCAGTGACACAGCCATTACACCAACTGCTGGTCCCAATACTTCCTTGGAGAATTTTTGAATTTTTTGTCACCAAATGCTTGTCTTTGTTTCTCAGTTTTGCCAGAGGGTGTGTGTGCACTCCAGAGATCTGAGAGAGATGGTGACAGAAGGTGAGACAGCAGCCTCCACGGGGCTCACTGCACACCGTCCTCTCCATCTCTCCCTCCTCGGGGTCTGAGCACACACGCACAAGTGCCCACTACGTTTCTCAGCCACCAGGCCGGCACTCAGACCTTGCAGGGGGTCGGCTGGACCCGGCCGCCTCCAGCCGCGGGCCATGCCGGCCCCTCACGATCCTGCGAGTGTGGAGGGTCGATCGTGGTCTACGGTCCGCCTGGGAGACGTCTCCAGCCCCGGCTTGGGCAGTGGCCCGGCTCGCCTTTCAGAGTAACCCTGACGGGGTCTGACCCCACGGTCAGAAATCATTGCTCACTTGATCTTTTCTCCCACGCGTTTCTGAAATCAGACTTGGACCTCACTTTCCTCCAGGGCAATTCGGGGGGCCGCTCTCTCACGCAGAGCCCCACGGCTCCAGGGGGTCCCCTGCCCTGTGTGATGGAGCCCAGGCAGACAGACCCGTGGCTAGAATCCCAGAGCAGGCAGCTGCCTCGAGCGCCCGGGGCGTGGCGCCCTCACCGGCACTCCCCGCTCTCTGCTCCCCTCCAGGCCGTTCCTCAACTACCAGCGCATGTACTACGTGTTCCTGCACATGCTGAGCAGCGGGCCCGCCTGGCTGGCCATCGTCCTGCTCATCACGGTGGCCCTCCTGCCCGACGTCCTCAAAAAAGTTCTGTGTCGGCAGCTGTGGCCCACGGCCACGGAGCGGACCCAGGTACGGGCACCCCGCCAGCGCCGGGCCATGGAGGTCGCAGGTCCCGGCCTGCACGGGGCAGGGCCAGTGGCAGTATAGCGGGCACAGTCACAACTCCGGAGTTTGAATGCTAGGTAGGATTTAAGGGTACCGAGGCTTAGCTTTGCGTTTAGGCCTGAACAGTCAACCTCAGTACAAAAAAGTGAACGGAAGTTCATTTAAAATCAAGTTATTTTATGTCGATCCAAAGCCATTTTTGAACTCACCACAGCCTTCAAGGCTAGGTCAGTTGCTTTTCGAGGAAGGTGACCTCAGGCGGGGCCGGGCCGGGCGTCTGCAGGGCTGGTGTGAGCACGGTGCCTGTCTCCTGTCTCCCCAGTCAGGGCCGGCAGGGGTCCCAGCTCAGGAGGGGAGGGTGACCCCGCCTGGTGCTCTGCACAGGTGCAAGATCCCCGGGGACAGCCGCCGCTCCAGCCTCTGGGCTGGGGGGTGGGTGCCTGCCTTGCCCCTTGCTCCCCTCCCCTGTTCCCCAGGAAGCCTGCCTGTAGGTGGGGGGCAGGTGGTGCAGTCAGGCCGGGGTCTGGGTTCCACCGAGTCCTGATCCTCGAGGGGTGCTGAAAATGCAGACTTCCAGGCCGTCCCGTGAGCTGGGCCCTGGGACGTTCTTCAGGGAAGCCCAGCCCCTCAGCATGGGGGTGCCAGAGCAGTAGCTGCCCCCGGGGCCGGGAGCCTCCTGGGCAGTGCAGACATCTTATAGGCCAACTCCCTGCTCCCTCGGGGTGCCGCTCCCGGGACCACCACCGCCAGGCTGGCCAATCGAGGGCCCTGCTCCCCGGCAGGCCTAGAGCTCTGGTTCTGAAGGAAGGGGCATCTCCACCCTGGCCGCCCTCACTCCTCCTCTCTGCCGTTCTGTGCTAACGAGGGCCGAAGTCCCCACATGCATCCCTGTGGCTGTCGGAGGCTGTGGCCTGTAGACAGGGTGCGGCCAGGGCACCCCGGGGGCTCGTCCTGCTCTCCACTCAGGGCAGGGACGCCTTCCTGCCTGACCTGTCGGGGTGCCCAGTCCAGGCCGCAGCTCCTCCGTGCCCCAAT